GCTCCTCATCAGATCCCTTGCTGCGGGTGCCTAAGCACCTGGTCAGCCACCTCCCTGGTAGCCCTCGATGATGGCTCTGGTGGGGTTCCAGGCTGGATCCGGTGTCCCCCCTCCCACTCCATGTCACCCCCACCCTCTCTGTCCTGTTTTCTCTGGTCAGCCACCTCCCTGGTAGCCCTCGATGATGGCTCTGGTGGGGTTCCAGGCTGGATCCAGTGTTCCCCCTCCCACTCCATGTCACCCCCACCCTCTCTGTCCTGTTTTCTTTTTTTCTTTTTTTTTTTTAAAGATGACCGGTAAGGGGATCCGGTAAGGGGATTTTAACCCTTGACTTGGTGTTGTCAGCACCAGGCTCTCCCAAGTGAGCAAACCAGCCATCCCCATATAGGGATCGGAACCCGGGGCCTTGGTGTTATCAGCACCGCACTCTCCCGAGTGAGCCCCGGGCTGGCCCCTCTGTCCTGTTTTCTAGTGATGGTGTGTGTCCATCCCCACTGCCGTCTGTGTGTGTCTGCACTGTCGTGACCCATAAACGTTGATCTAATAAATGAGGGCTGGAAGGAGCAAGTAGGTGAATGCAGTGCAGAGCAGTGCGATGAATGATAGTGTCCCTCAGCTTCAGTCACCCCTTGGCTGTGACATCAGTCTGCCTGCCAGACCCCCAGGAGGTGGCTGCTCTCACCTGAACAGAATGGAGGTGACATTGTAGCTGTGGTCTTCTTTCAGCTCGTAGACGGTGGCGTACATCGTAAACTGGCCTTGTTCTTTATTTTTTGCATTCCCCGCCAGGCCTACGACGTACCACTTCCCCTGGAACTGCAGGGGGCTGATGATAGGCAGAGCCTGGAATGGCCTCAGGAGCCAGCCCTCCTGCTCTGGCCCTGCTGGCAACTCTGGGCAGCCCAGCCCAGAACAGAGTCCCTCTAACTGGGCAGCAGGGCCCTGGGCTGGGCCTGCACTGCTGAAGCTGGCAGGAGCTGGAGGCCAGGAGGGAGCCCTAAGTCTGGGAGGGACAGTGTGACCCTGGGCAAGTGGCTCTTACACCTTCCTCAGCCTCAGTTTCCTTATCTGTGCAGAGGAACTGAAGATGTTCCCACCCTGCATGGGGGATATTAGGAGAGAGAGTGTGGACCTGGAAGTTCTGTTCAGGTGACCCTGACATGGGATGGAGGTGGCAGATGGGGTGTGGCTCCCATTAGGGAATCTGGGTACAGGGCGAGCTGAAGCCTGGGTCCTGGGCCCCCTGAGTCTTGCCCATCCTGCCCAGCACTCCCTGTGAGACTCTCTGCCCTCCTCCCCTCTTCCTCTGGCCTTCCTTGCAGATGCTCCTCCAGGGCCTTACCTGGTCATCTTTGAAATCTGGCTGCAGAGGGACCCTCAAGAGAGGCGGGGCCGGGATCAGGTTTGGAGTAGAGTCCTGGGCCTCGGTCTGCAGGGCCCCCAGCAGGGTGAGGCCCAACCACAGGAGACCTCGGGGCATGATTTCAGGGCTGAGGAAACGGGAGCTCGGGCAGCTGCTGGGCCAGGCAGATGGAGGAGGTGAGTGAAGAGCCTGGCCTAGGGGACTTTATTTATGCCTGGCTTCTGGGCTGCCCTAGGGAGGGCTGATTCATCCTTTGCCAAATTCAGGAAAGGTGAAGCAATTGCCAGTAACTCTGGCGGAAACACTTGGCAAGATTTTTCTGTACTTTTTTCTTCCTGGTCAGGATGGTGCAAGGTGGAGGGACAGGAAGGCCTGGGGGCAGGGGGCAGGAGGGAAATTCCCAGAGCCGCACACCTCTGGCAGGGACGAGGGCTAGCTCAGGGCACTCTCTGAGCCCCTTCCCTTGGTCAGATTGGCCCTGTATGTGGGTGAGTGACCCCAATTTGAACAAGCGGTCATCTCTGACTCCTGGGAGCCCCTGCTCAGCCTGAGCCCAGGGTGGGGTATGTGCTGTGAGGTCCCCCTCCCTGCACCTGCTGAAAGCACAAAATGCCTTACCCCAGCAGATCACGTGCTGTTTCCTGGTTCTTGTGAGGGTCAGGGAAGGGTGGGGCGGCTGAGAGTGGAAAGGGAAGGACAGGCATCTGCTCTGAGCTCACTGAGCCCCGGGGCACATGCCAAGAGGCTAAGCTGGGAGTCTCCAGCCTTGAGTCAGCCCCTCCCTTCTCCATGCCCCATTGGCAGGAGGGGACTGCAGGCAACCCCTGAGGGTCTCCACCTCTCCTGTGAGCCCAGTGGGCAAGACCCCAAACCAGGCACAGGGGCCGCAGATGTGGCTGCTCCACAAAGCTGGGTGCTGAGACTGCAGTCCCAGCTCACTGTGGAGCCCTGGCTGGGGGCAGATGCAGGATGGGCACCTGACCTGGGTGAGATGGGCTGGTGGTGGGGTTTGAAGTTGGGCTCCACTCTGCTGCTGTGACAGCAGTTGCTTTGGGTCACAGGCAGTGGCCTTGTCCTTGAGAGGTCATTGAGACCATCCCCCTGTTTCTGGCCATGGAGCCCAGTGTCCTGGGGTTCCAGAATTGTTCCTGAGATGGTTGATTTCAGTCTTGTCCTAGAGGGAAACAGTTTTGTCACTGGGGGCCTGGCCAACATCCTTGAGAGGCAGTGATGGATCCCAGGCCCTGTGCAATGTCCCCCAGAGATAGCTCACCCCCAAGGACTGAAACTGTTCAGGACGCCTGACCTGAAGCTGGACTGAGGGTTTGCTGGCCTCAGATGGGACTAACAGGGGCCTCACGGGCTCTACATACCTGCAGCTTGGGGCCCCAGACTGGGTTCTGGGGTGGCAGGGCCCTGAGAGAAGGGGCTTTGAAAGGGGTCCTGAGCTGGTGGGTACGGTGAAGCCTTGTCTTCCCTGAGGCCAGAGTTGTTCCCACCCACCAGACCCCTGCCCCCTCAGGCCCTTCCCTGCCCACGCAGGTGATGAAAGGACAGGAAATGAAGATGAGCAGAGCTGTGGGGAATGATGTCGCCAGCAACGCCAGCCCCCTGCCCCCCAGGTGCCAGCGGCCACGCCTACCCCCACCCTCCCATCTCCCCTTCTCCCACCACTCACCCACACTCCCAGGGGTGGACCTCAACACTCTCTTTGACCTTAAAAAGTATCCTTGAGTCTGCAGTGACTGTTGGATAGGGGGGGAAACTGGTGGATGAACTCCAGAGAATTTTAAGTAGGAGAGGGGCAGAACCCTGGATCACCAAGGAGCCTCTGGCTGGAACATTCCAGACTCTGAAAGCCAGTGGGCAGCGTGGCCAGTGCTTCCTGGGTGGGTCTTAAGGGCATGAACCAGGGTGAGGTGGGGAGGGTGCGGGGTATGCAGGATGAGAAAACCAGAGCCCGATGCAGGAGGGGAGGTGGTCCAGTTCGGGAGCCCCCAGGCCTGGTTAGAAGCCAGACTCCTCCAAGTGCACACAAATCTCTCCTACCTGCCACCCCCATCAGGCTCCTCCTCTGTAAGGAGAGCTGCTCTGCTGATTCTGTGAGGCCATGCGCAGACAGCACCTGGGACTTGAGATGTCCCTACACGAGGTTGTCTCTGAGTATAGGGGATTAAAGTACCTTGTAAATGGAGAAGATACTTGGAGACTGAAGAAGGAAGTGGGCAGGTGCATTCAGTGATCAGAGATATTTATTAATTGGATGACTTACAGACAAGGAAGCTGGACTCAGTGAAGAATTAGTTGTCAGCACATGAGAGCTCTGACTCGAGATTAGACAATGTTTTTATCTATTTATTGTCGGCGGCTGGCTGGTACGGGGATCTGAACTCTTGCCGGTGGTATTATAACACCACACTCTGACCAACTGAGCTAACCGACCAGCCCTCGACAATGTTTACATAGCAAAGACGTTGTTGCTAAGAATAACTTCAAGAAAACATCTTAAGAAAAATAAGGTAAGGCCGGCCCGTGGCTCACTCGGTAGAGTGCGGTGCTGATAACACTAAGGCCCCGGGTTCGGATCCCATATAGGGATGGCCAGTTCGCTCACTGGCTGAGCATGGTGCTGACAACACCAAGCCAAGGGTTGAGATCCCCTTACCGGTCATCTTTATAAAAAAGAAAAACAAGGTAATAATTCACCGGGTGTCTTGTGATGCATGAGGTGGGAGATTTTGTGATTTTAGTGCTCAGACACAGATGCCACCTGCTGTAATAAATCACTCACCCCCTGACACTTGTGTTCCCTTTACATTTGCCCTGAGAATAAAGTGTGACTGGCCAGAGAAACAAAGGAATGAGGTTGAGCAGGAGTCAGCATGGCAAGTGGGCACAACATGGCGCTGGTTCTGTTCACCTCTAGCGCTGAGCTTCTGATCAAACCTATGCAGGGCCCATTCTACTCTCTGCGCTGGACCCAGGCCTGTCCCAGACCTGCTGGCCTTGTCGCTGTCTCTCCGTCCTCATCTGCGTGGTGGTCTTTGCCTCTGCCACCTGGTGAAAGCCATCTCATCCTCAGCCCTTCCTCACCTGGGCGTTTCCTGCCTTCTTTCCTGGTCCAGCCCTGGAGGCTGGGGCGAAAGTGAAGGGGATGAGGACTGTGGAGAGACTTGAGTCTCAAATATGTCATGTCCTAAGCCACACCTCATGGGGGTCCAAGGACAGTTGTGGTCATAGTTGGGGCAGAGGCCAGGCTGGTTGTGGCCAGTCCCAGACAGCAAGGGCCTGGTGCCCTGGGCTGGCTGGAGCTGGAGAGACAGGGAAGCATCTGGGGACACCCAGCAGCATCCTGCCTTAGTGGGGAGGGGACCTGCAAGGCCGGGATGGGAATATAGGGGAAAGCTCTGCCCACACTCTTCAGAGTCCAGCAGGGCTGTGGGGAGGGGGTCAGCTCAATACGCATACCCGCCTCCCACAAGCCATGAGACTCAGCACTACGAGGGCTGGGTGAGGACCAGGGTGTAGACCTCCTGCCCAGACTTGTGCTGACTCCAAGGGCTCCAAGGTGGACAGGACACCCACCCCCATCCCATTGGGTCCCATTCCTTGGGCCTGGACCACTGGCCAAGGAGGGGACTCGAGGGTTCACGTCGCCTAGAGCGGGGTCCCAGGGCTCTTGGAACAGTCTACACTGCATGTGTGGCCCCACCCCTGGTCTAATAATCCACCCAGAAAAACAGTGAGATGCCCCTGGCAGTCCCAGCATAACAAGAATCCAGTCTGACTCCCTGTTCTGGTTTCCAGAAGCCTGTGAGCAGTGTTCAGCTCAGCCATGAGTGGCTGGGTTAAAGCAGCCCCCTGTGACCTGTTTGATGGGCCAGGCAGGAGGTGACTGGGCAGGCTTCTCAGAACCAGGGGCTGCACCTGAGAGGACAGGGACTCTTGGCATCCACAGGTGGGCCCTCCTTAACCACTGGAGGTCCAGGCCAGACAGCCCCCCTCAAACACCCAGGAGTGGGAAGGACTGTTTAGTGTGTCAGGTGCTTGCTCTTCCAGGGCCTTGGGTTGAGCCTCCTGTTCCTAGAACAGTTTTTCAACCTGCATGCCCCATCTCTCACACCAGGGCTCAGCAGGGGGCCTCGAGGGTCTGCAGACTCCCTCCCCTTCCATCTAATGGGGACGCTGCCTGTGGAAAAGCTCTGAAAGGCAGCACTTCCCAACACTCCCCACCACACACCCACTAGAGTCTGCTCTCTGGCAGGGCCTTGGGGTCCACAGGACACGGGGAAGCAGGCCCTGCTGCTTGAGGCCTGGCCCTGAGGCCGCCTCCTGATTCCAGTCCTCTGGTCTGGCATGCCCCTTAGGTGGGTGCTCTTGCCTTATACTCCAGAGTCTGGACTCCATGCAGGTGAGAGGGCCCACAATGACCACAGGGGACCGTAGGCCACAGCTCTGAGCAGGGTCTGCAGTGGGTACCAGACATCCAGCAGGTGGTGGGCAGACACTGGGCTTCCACGGAACTGGGCTGGGGTGCCTCTGGCATAGGCCTCTGCCTGGCACGGCCCTGGCACCTTCATAGGAGAAGGGGCTGACCTGGGCCAGCAGGAGTGGGGTGAGGTGGCAGGGAGGGGGCACAAAGAGCAGAGTAGAACAAGACCTTGGCCTTGGCCTGGCCACTGTCCCTCTGTGGCCCAGTTCTCAGGGGGCGCAGTTCAGGGGTCTGGGAGAGAAGTGTGGTTTCTGGGGTTAGAGTTCAGTAGGTTAGATCTTGGGCTGGAGGGAAGACTACCTTCTACCCCCTTCCCATGACTCTCAGAATAACCCCTCAAGGATGGTAGCCCTCTGCGTTAGCACAATGGGAAGGCAGGCCGGGGGGTGCAGGACAAAGGTCTGTGTGCCTCCCTCTGGGGCCACAGTCTCCCAGGCCTGGGGTGGGCACTGGCCTCCCCCAGGGTCACTGCAGCCCCAAATGCCCTCCCTAGGAGCTCAGTCTGGCTCTGCCAAGAATGGGGTGCCTCATAGTTCCCTGGTCTCTACCTACCTCCCTGGTCCCCCTGTCCTGGTCCCCTCCCACACTGCTGGGCCTCTCTCCTGGGCTACCTCCTCCTGACTCTCTGGGGTCCCCTTGTTGCATGCTACCTCCTACCACACTGCCGGGTTCCCTTGGTTCAGGACACTTCGTCCCCACACA